TTAAACAATCATATAACCGTATTTCTGTAAGCTATAAGAAGGAAAAATAAGGGTGCCATAAGGTATGTAAAGATCTGATTTACTTTGGCAGATAAAGAAAAGCTGTCCTAATGAAGTTATGGTTGAGCTGAAGAGAGTTATTAGGCAAAGATGGCTTGGCAAAACGGGAAGAAAAACAATTCACAGCAGAGAACAGAGTATATGCAAAGATATAGGAGGAAACATGGTATATTGAAATTGAAAAAAAGATTGGCCAATATAATTCATTAGAATTATATTTTGGATAAGAGTGGTTGCAGGGATACTAGTTATGGTTATGGCAGTTGTCCAGGTGAGAGATGATGGTATCATAGATTAGAAGAGCAGCCATGAAGATAGAAGGCAAATTGAAGAGATCCTTAGGAGAAAATCAGTGTTACGCACTGAAGACACATAGAGTAGAGTCAGTAGAGTTTTAGAGATAACAGATCTTGAGATTTTTTTTCAGTTGTGAGACAAAACAGTCAAGCAGCTAGGAATTTCAGCTTACCTGATGCTCTGAAACAAGCCAGATAGCATTTGTAGCCAGGTTCTCTAATGGCAGTAATATCTTTGCAAGGGTGATTTTAGGAAGTGTGCCAGAAGGCCATAACCAAAAATTCAGTGAAGTAGACCATATATTTAAAAGTAATTATATGAGGTCTGTCCAGAAGGTATCCAGCCATGTAAGATGAAAAACAGAGACATTTATTGAAGAAGATATAAGAAACATTGTAGCCCTGGCTGGCATAGCTTAGTGGATTGAGCGCAGGCTGCAAACCAAAGTGTCACAGGTTCGATTCCCAGTCAGGACACATGCCTGGGTTGCAGGCCATGACCCCCAGCAACCGCACATTGATATTTCTCTCTCTCTCTCTCTTTCTCCCTCCCTTCCCTCTCTAAAAATAAATAAATAAAATATTTAAAAAAAGACTCCTTATAAAAAAAAAAGAAACATTGTATACAGGACAACAACGCCTCAGTCTCCTTCAAAGTAGACACCTTGAGACCTCACACAGTTCTCTCAATCTCCACTAGCTACCCCACTGTATTTTCCTGAATCTCTTACCTTTCAAAGGTAATTTTAGTTTTGGGACAAGCCAGAAGTTGCAGGGCACCAAATCTGGGCTGCAGGGGGTCTGAGTCACCTGGGTGATTCAATATTTTGCCAAAAAACTCTGCACCAGACGTGATGCATGGGCGGGCAGGCACATGGTTGTGATGAAGGTGCCAATCACCAGCTGCCCTACCTGCGGCCTTCTGAATCATCAGAATAGCTCCCGTGGAAGAATGTTCAAGCTTAATGCAAAATCTGATGCAGATTCGTTGCTCTACTCCCTCAGGCATTTTGAATGTGATGACCACACAGCACACATGCTCACTCAATGGCATCTACTGCCCCCACTGACTAGTACAGTGAAGTCATCATTGTTCACACATGCACATTCCAGCCCGCTCTCCTTGGCTGCCAAGTTACATCAATATCAAGCAAACCATTCTTGTTATATCAACAATGGTTGGACTTTTTCTAGACAGACCTCGTATATTGTTATATATTCCAAATGTCAGTTAGAAGGATCCCAAATGATAAAATTACTGGGATTTTCAAGGTACAAGCTTGTAACATGCTATATCACTTACTTTCTCTCCTTTGTACTTGTGTGAAAATATTTCAAGACTTGGGGAAAAGGAAGAATAGGAATTTATAGTATTATCAGTCAAATAGCAACATAAATTTATAAAATAACATTTTATATCAGGAATATATTATTACACCTGAGGATATTAGGAAAAAAGTCAACCACCATTATGTCTTAAAGATTCTACCATGCCAAAGAAACAAATGTTACTTTATGACATATAAGACCAATATTCAAAATGCATAACAGGAAAAGCAACTTCCACATAGGTAGCTTTTTAATCAGGAAAGTAAGATATACATGCTCATCAAGTCTATTCCTTTCCTTGTTTCAGATGACTAATAAATGAAAAATTTTTACAAGTTGTCTTTCTTTCTGCTTTAGGTAACCAGTATAACAAAAATCTCTATTAAATCCAGTAATAGGCTTAAAGCTAACAGAAAGTTCACAGTTTCCCCTTACAAATGGACTAACAACACTATTTTCCAAGTACCCCAGTATTAGAATTTGATACTTGGCTCCCCTACTTCGTGAAGCAGATTTTTTAAATAGTAAGGAGGAATAATTTCTAGTGTTTCACCTTAACACACTAGTTTTTATCTATAGGCCCCAGCCTAAATCCCACACATTAGTAAACCTTGAGCCAATAAATTCTAAAATCTCCCTTTCTACTTATATCCACATGAAAATTTACCTTCCTTAGTCTTAAGTGGTCCAATGTACATGTAGTTATTTTCCCTTGGGTACTGTAAGAAAATGGCATGCTTGTAGTTCTACAAATTTTCTGACATGCTATGTTAAAACATACAATAACTAGCACTGTGGTGTCACATACAATATTAGAATCCTAACAGGAACACTAGAATGAAAGAGAAACTGCTCTTAGTCAAAACCCCCAAGCTGAGCAAAGTATGGGTCAAAGATCTCAAAGACTCATTAATGACCTGTAACATAATTGGTAAAATCTAGAAATTCACATTTATTTATGTCTCTGTAATCTTTGAGTTGTTAATAAAAATGTCACCTCTTCAATGATGGGATGGTATAGTGAATCACCAATATAGTAACTGATCTCTAAAGCTGTCAATAAATCACTTGTCAAAGAACTTCAGGGAAGAAAGGACCTGGGGAAGTATATAGTCTCTATTCCCTCATTTTACAAATAAGAATGGTAAGGAACAGAAAGAAAATGCAATCATATACCTGATTTCTAGAAGATAAAAAGACAATAAATACATACAGCATTACAGAACCTAGGTCTGGTGTCCTATCTGGTACTCTTCCCAAGTCTCCAAATTAAAAAAAAAAAAACACCTTTTTTTAAATCTACACATGGCTTGAAAAACCCATAAATTCCTGAACATACTGTAGGTCTTAATTGTTCATACCTTAACCAGAAAAAACTACAAAGAGCAAGAAAATTTATACTTCTATTTTTTAAATGCTATGTAACATACTATATAATTTTCATCCCAAACCTGCCATACCACAACAAACCCTCTAGGCCCACACATACACATAAATATGGCATACTAAGCTTACAGCTAATTATTTTTAAGAATAAGTTTAAAAAATACCTAGTCTTGAAGAATAAAAGCCCATAGAGAAAATATACAGCTTTAAAGATGAGTCGAAGAGAAAGGGTGAATCCTAGTTTTGCTTCAGTGCAGAATAAAAGCAAAATAGAAAGATCTAGCCCTGACTGGTGTGGCTCAGTGGATTGAGTGCCGTCCTGAGAACCAAAGGGTCACAGGTTCGATTCTCAGATCAGGGCTCATGCCTGGGTTTCAGGCCAGGTCCCATGAGGGAGTGTGTGAGAGGCAACCACACATTGATGTTTTCCTCTCTCTTTCTCCCTCCCTTCCCCTCTGCTTAAAAATAAAAATAAAATCTTTAAAAAAATATCTAACCTTTTGAGCTCTAAATGTGATCTATAGGAGCTTCAGATTTTCTGCATCAATTAGTAAGAGCTCCCAGTCCTGCTGCCTTCCTAGGTGACTACCCAACTACCTGTCTGGAGTTCTCCAAAGCTTTCAAGCAAATTTAGTTACCCAGAGGTTGTTCTATGCCCCTCCAAAATGAATGTTTATATTCACCACACAAAACTTTGGGAATCAGGAAAAAAGGTCTCAATTCCTTTTATCAATGGAAACGGCAGCATCTGTTGATTTTCTTTTAAAACAAACTTTTGAAAACCTCATGAGATGATTCCTTAGATTCCATAGAAGAAACAGCCACACACTACCAAAATTTTTTTAAACAGAAATCAACTGTATCTTGAGTATATCCAGATAAGCATTTTCTAGGTATCTGTTCTGAATAAAATATAAGCACCTTTCCTTTTTCTCTTTATTTTATTATTTCTTTAACAATTTTATTTATTTTTAGAGAGAGGGGAAGGGGAGGAGAAACAGAGGGAGAGAAACAGTGTGTGGCTGCCTCTCACACACACCCTACTGGAGACCTGGGCCACAACCCAGGCATGTGCCCTGACTAGGGATTGAAATAGTGACCCTTTGGTTCACAGGCCAGCGCTCAATCCACTGAGCTATACCAGCCAGGGCTCTTTATTTGTTTTAAAAGCTCCCTTACTACCCTGGGTCATGTGGCTCAGTGGACTGAGTACTGGCCTGTGAGCTGAAGGGTTGTTGGTTCAATGCCCCAACAGACACATCCCTAGGTTGGGGGCCAGGTCCCTAGTTGGGGCATGCCAGAGGAAGCTGATTGATGTTTCTCCCAGACATCAATGTTTCTCTCTTCCTCCTTTCTTTCCTCTCGCTCTAAAAATAAATAAAATTTGGCGGGGAGGAGGCTCCCTGAGCAATCCATTCTTATCATTCAATAAAAGGCAAAACTTTCATAGCAGTCTTCCCCTTCATCCTTAAACAACAAACAGACCTTGCTCTACCTAGTAGTATTTCTGTTCCTTTAACAAAACCCTTCATTCTGCTTTGTATACTTCCTGAGATATTTCTGAATTTTAAAAATTCTTGGATCATCCAAGTTTAAACATGGCCCAAATTACTTTTAGCATGTAATTGCATGCATAGACACACACTGCAAAACTTCTCAACTTACTGTCCCTCTAAATCATAGATCTCCCCACTAAATAATCTCAGCAAGAACTTCTTCGGTTGTCGTTCCAGATTCTATTCCTTTCCTTCCACACAAATTCGGGTTACTCCTAGGCTTTATTACTTTAAGAGGGCCATTCCCCAGAGGTGGTGGTAAAGGGACCCATTTGGCTCTCCGTGTTGCTCCAGGCTTGGTATTAGAGGCACGTCTGCCCCAATGTGTTCCCCCTCCCTCCCCTGTCCTTCCTAAACCTCCCCAGCTTGCTACCTGTTGGCAGTGCTGGTGTTGCTGCTTCCACTGCTGTGTTTCTGTGCCCGGCTCAACCTCCGTGGGGGCTTTGAATGCTGCAGCCGGGGGCTCGGCATGGAGGGAAACGTTGACGCGTAGCCATGTTCACACTCTAAAGAGACAGCAAGAAAAAAAAAAGATATGATAAGAGGATATACCCACATCCATGGAACCACAAATCTGAAGTCCTTAGAGTAACAGGTTGTTAAAACAGAAGAAAAAGAGGTCATACTTTTCCACTCTTTTCGGTTAAAAGGCAAAATAATCTCCAGTCCTTACCTGGACATCAATCCTGTGACATTACATGCAGACCCAACCAAGTGCCTGAAAGGTGTACCGGTACTTCCTCTAAATCAAGTAATTTATCCCTCTACAAAATGCTTTGCTCCAAGAATTCTGGACTTAAACACTCTAATTTCTGAGCCTGATTACCACTCACCTCAATTATTTCCCTTACTTCAAAATTCCCCTTTTCCTTCAACTCTTTGTATTCCAGAAAGCGTCACACCAAGCCCCACAACTTTCCTGTACTTAGTTCAGTCACCCAGTCTTAGGAGGACACCTTCCCTCCTCACACCACCACTCCCAGAGTTCCTCCTCTTCACAGCCCATCTCCGCGCCTCCTCCAGTATCCCCGTCCCCAAAGGGACCCCCAGTCACAGCACCTAGGTCCCCTTCCCCACGGGGTGCGCGCCCTCCCCACCGTTCAGCAGGCATTCTCCATTCCCTCCCTTCGCTCTCAGCCCCGCCTCCCCCGCCCGCACCCCCTCCAGGGCCTCGGTCTCCGGTCTCTCCCTCCTCGGGTCCACCTGCCCGCCGCCCACAGCCCCGCCCTCACCTTCCGCAGCTCGGGTCCCCCCTGCAGCTCCTCACGCCCGCCCCGCCCCGCCCCTCCCACAGGGGGCCTCTCACACAGCCCTCCCCTCACAAACACACGCGCGGCCACCCTGACACGTGCACCCCTATTCGCTTGTGCACCTCCCTCGCACGCACTTCCCCCCACACACGCACCTTCCTCCTCACAGGTGCACCCCCACTCACGAGAGCAACCCTCCTCACACTCGCCAACACCTCACAGACGCCTCCTCCCAAGCACACCTCCCTCACACACACCTCCCTCACACGCGCACACCCCTCCTCACGTGCGCGCCTTTCCTTACACGAGCATCTCCCCTCACGCGTGCACCCTCCTCATGCACGCACCCCTCCCGGTCACACACGCACACCCCTCACACGTGCACACACCTCACACAAACATCTCCCCTCACACGCGCACACCCCCTTCCCGCGTGCAACACTCCTCACACGCGCACCTCCCCTCACGCGCGCACTCTCCTCGGGCGCGCACCTCCCCTCGAGCGCGCACACTCCTCACAGGTGCACCCTCCTCGAGCGCGCACCTCCCCTCACAGGCGCAAACACCTCACGCTCACGGGCGTCCTCACACAAGCAGCTCCCCTCACCCGAGCACACCCCTCCCCTCACAAGCGCACCTCCCCTTACATGCGCACACCCCTTTTCACACGCGCACCTCCTCTCACACGCCGCACCGCGATCCCCACGCGGAGCAGATTCGGGGTCCGGCGGTGGTGCCCGGCCGTTACCTCGGTCCCGGCGCTCCAAAAACTCCGCCGCCTCCAGCAGGCGCTGCACGTTGATCATCCGCACTCGCTCCATCGGCACCACCGCGGCTACCAGGGCCTCTCCGCGCTCCCTTCCCCGGCCGACAGGAGGCGCCGCGGCCAGTACAGTCCAGCAGCGCCCCGGGACATGCGCGGCGGGCGGGCTGGCCAGCCCGGCCGCAGCTAGGCGCGCTGTCCACCGCCCCCCGGGTCCAGTTGCGCCTGTCGCCCCTCTGCACTGGTCGCGCAGCCGGCAGCCCGCGCGTGGTTTGTTTACCTCTCCGCGCGAGCACGGGGGAGGGGCGGGAGCAGCGCCGCGGCCCGCCCCCTCCCGCCCCTCCCCTGCCTCCTGGGAAATGTAGTCCCGCCCCCCCCCCGCCTATTGCACGCCGGGAATTGTAGTATGCACACTATTTTAGTACTCTTGCGCCCAGCCGAATTCCGTAAGGGCCACTGGGACGTGTAGTCCTGCTTGGCTTCTCTACCCAGGGTAGAAACACTAAGTTCTCTGGACTTTGCGTCCGTCAGGAAGGATTTGACCTAGCTGAGTGTCTACTCCCAAAAAGCCCTTTTGTCAACGACTCCCAGCGGGTGCTCAAGAGCTGGAGCATTCTTTTTCCGAAGTTTCAAGTCATCTGTCATCAACTACTTTCTCACGTAACCTCTGTGCCTCAGTTTCTCCCTCTGCAAAATGTGCTGCTGGGACAGCACAAACAGAAACACTTGAAAAGCCAAAGTCGCTGCTCAGAAACGAAGGAAGGTGCTATCAGAACCAGAGATGGCTTCATAAGGCCCTTCTTCCACTTCAGTTTCCACACAGAGGTGGATGTTTTCTTTTAAACCTTATTTTATTAACCTTTCTTCTCTCCCCTCACTAGGGGTTTTAAAGGCTAAAAAACCTCCCCGGTGCTTCAAGTGAAGGATATGATTCAGCGGGTAAGCGATCTGGTGAAGTCACACAGGGTCAGTTCAAATCCTGACTCTGCTACTTATATTAGCTGTGTGGACTTTCAGGCCTCATCATTCTCCTGTGTAAAATAGATATCCAAACGCTGAAGGCCTACCATGTGCCAGGCACTGTACTAGACATAAAGTGTGCTGTAATGACAGAAACAGACATGGACCCTGCTTTCAAGGAGTATATAGTTGGTAGGATTTATTTTGAAGATTAAATGAAAATAATTCCAACACTTAGTACATGACACTCAATAAATGGAAGATATGATAGTTGTTTCCTCTCATGTTTTCCAGACACAGAACTGAAAGCAGTGGTTAATGACTCCTGGGACCACATTAAAAGACTGTCCTCACCATCACCCTCTTTCCAAGTCCTCAATTTAACAAGCCTTCAAAAGTCTAGACCAGAGTTTCTCAGCTTCAGCATTACTGGCATTTTTGGGTGAATAATTCCTTTGGGAGGTGGAAGAGGGCTATCTGTGCATTGTGGTAGGTTCAGCAGCATCCCTGGCCTCTATCAACTAGATGCTGGTAGCACACCACCAACCCTCACATGTGAAATCCAAAATTGTCTCTAGACATTGCCCAAATGTCTTCTGAGGCACTGACTCACTCCTGTTTGAGAACTACTGATCTAAGGAGAGGAAAAGGCAAGAAGGTCATAAATGTTGAAAGCTCTAGGGCCAAGCTGGGAATTTTGTAAACATCCATAACTTTCCCCCACCCTGATTATTTTAACCTGCTGGTAGATATCCAAAATAACAGGAAGCTCTTGGTGAGGGGAGAAATTCCAGTGGCTACTGCAGAAAATACCATCTCAGGATGAAAATCTTACTCTCAAAAATGTCATGGGCCTCAGAGTGCATTTTAATACCTTCTCTCTCTTTTTTTTTCAAAGTGAGTAAGATTTCTAATGAGGTCAAAAACTGTAATATTCTGCCAGCCCTTTTAAATATTACACTTGGCACCACATTTAAGAACCAAAGAGATGTTCCATCAAGTGCAGGGAGACCCAAAATGAGAAGTGTTCACAAGCCACAGGAGAATTAATTTTTTTTGTAAAGACTTTAAAACAGGGACTATGCTTTTTCAGCTGTTGGCTAAGTTGCTTCAGATTTGGGCTTTCCCATTGGGTGTTGGTAACAACCAACCCCCACACTCAAAAGGGACATGTTGGGTAGGGGAAGAATAGAATAATTTAAAAGAAAATACCTATTCGCTCAGAACATCTGTTATTGAGGATAGAAATTATTAGGTTGAGAGTTAGTTTCTGCCACTTGTGGAACCCCTTTAAGTTTTAGATCCCAAATTGCTAAGGGCTACCTGAATTACCTAAAAGATGTACCGTAGTTTTATGACAAATAAAAGTCTAGCCAGTGAGAGGTAAACCATGTGAAATAGAATCAAGAAAAAAGTAAAAGCTGAAAACACACAGAGGTTCAAGATGGGTTTGAATTTATAGATCCTAAGCCCTACCAGGTTATTAAGAGAAAGATGGGATGGTTGGTGCACATGCCTGGCCTTTCTCAGTTGACTTCCAGATGAATTAACCAATCCTTCTTTTTTGTCTTTCTGAAAATTTTAATATTTTGTTTATCTTTTAGACAGAGGGGAAAGGAGGGAGAAAGAGAGGGAGATAAACACCAATGTGCAAGAGAAACATTATTTGGTTGCCTCTTGCATGCCCCCAACCATGGGCATGACCTGCCGCCACCCAAGCATGTGCCCAGACTGGGAATCAAACCTGTGACCTTTTGGGTTTGCAGGCCAGCGCTCAGTCCATTGAGCCACACCAGGCAAGGCTCTTCCTGAAATTTTTATTGTTCGTATTGGGGAAAAAATAATCAGTTTTTTTTAGTTGAAACATACTGGAAATTTCATTTAGCCTAGAAAGAATAATTATTACTGGAAATCCTATAAAGTAGATACATAAGGATTAAGCTGGATTCAACATTTCTGTAATGATTTTTAACAATATCATTTATATAAAAAGTGAATTTATATAAAAAGTATGAAATAAGGGTGGTAATGGGAGGGAAGTGGCAGGGATGGGTGGGTGGGCTGGAATGGGAGTAAAAGGCAGAAAACTGTACTTGAACAATGATAAAAATAAAGTAAAATAAAATAAAATAAAAAGTATGAAATAAGAGAAACATGCAGATAAACTAAAAGTCGTAACTCTATGTCCTTGTCTTTTAGTATATATTTCAAAACGGGTGAGTATGTATAAACTAGGTAAACTGTTGCTTTTTCTTTTCTTAAAGATTTTATTTTTATTTATTTTTAGACAAAGGGGAAGGGAGAAAGAAAGGGAGAGAAACAATGTATTGTTGTCTGTCATGCACCTTCAACTGGGGACCTGGCCTGCAAACCAGGCACATGCCCTGACTGGGAATCAAACCAGCCACCCTTTAGTTCACAGGCCAGTGTTCAATCCACTGAGCCACACCAGCCGGGGTAAACTGTTGCTTTCAACCAGTCCTTTGTTTTAGAGCCATAGCCAAGAGGGAGATTAGGAGATGGAAAGCTAGGATGAGAGCCACCAAAAGCTCACCTGCATATATTGAAAAAGAGATGAGATGATGGTGATGGTGGAAAGTGGACAGTGTTACAGACCGGTTTATATACAGAAATATGTAGCCCTTTCTAATAGCAACTGAAGGTGCCACTACCTACTCCCTGCTCTGGGTGACTCTGGAATTCTTGCTTGGACGTCGGCCATAAGGGCCTCCCACAAAACACAAAGCTTGAGGCTCTAGCCTCGAGAGTGATGCCAGCCACAAACCATCCCTCAGCATCAGTCCCAGCCTAGAAGAACCCAGAGGCAGCCGTGGCCTTTCTTTTGTTCACATGAATCTGCTTGCACTGCAAATGCAGATGGGGAAACTGAGGAAAAAGCATGGCTTCCAAAGTCTACTCACAAAAGAACCTGGAATCTTACCTACAGTCTCTGGTTTTGTCCTATCCTTAAAGTATCTCTCTCAGGAAGTCTCACTAAAGATGGAAAAAGTCCCCCAGAGTCCCCCAAGCCTATAACAAACATAGCCTGATGTGAACAATCTGCCTTCTGGAGGAACCAGGCAAAACTCTCTGTTCTTAGGGGTCCCTTCCCTGCACAGCTTACCCAGTGCAAATTTTCAGATGATTTATTGCATATTCATGAACAATGGAGGCTGGTCTGTGTTATATCTTGTACACAGATGGAAAGAGATCAAAAAAAGGGAAGGGACCATGAGGTGAAAGTCACTGTGTTGGTGACATCTGGGGTTTAAGAGAACTTCCCTGAAACTGCAAGGTGCTTACTGTACAGGGCACTGTTTTGTGCAATTACCTTTAAGGAAGGGGGTTTCAAATAATCAAGATTGGGGACAGGGAAGTGGGTGAGTCCCGAGCTCCTAAATGAGAACAGTAACAGTTATACATCGTTTCATCTCCCCACCCCGAAATGACAAATGCAGCCTCCTTTTCTCCCCTCCCCTTAAAACCCAGAAACGTGAAGGGCAGCAGAAAACCTTTCCCTCCGCCCAGTGAGTCAGCCTTGCCTAACTTCATGCGTAAGCTCTCCTCAAGTCAGCAGCAGCTCAGAGCTGTGGGTCTGTGTGCAGCCGAGATAAATTTGGGTCTAGAAGGGATGACGTAATGCTAAACCCGAGAGGTAGCTGCTGCCTCCCAGAGCTCCAGTCGCCAGGGCTGTCGGATGACATCCCAAACACAGGGAAAAGCACCAATCGACCCAGGTGCCTGAGGTAGGGAGAAAGGGAAAGAAAGGACGAGGGGGTGGGAGGAAACAGCAGGGGAAGGCAGTCTCCATCCGAGCTCTCTGAATCTGGAAGTTTGTTGTTTTTAACTTCAGTTTTCTGGTGAGATCAGGCCACTGGCAGAGGCTCAAACAGCTGCACTTGATGTGCATCCTGACCTATCTCTTTCCCAGTAAAGAAAAGAGCTTCTTTTCTTTTTTTTTTCTTTTTAAATATATTGATGAGAGAGAGAGAGAGAGAGAGAGAGAGAGAGAGAGAGAGAGAGAGAGAGAAACATTGATCCATTGCTCCACCCACCCACACGTTCACTGGTTGACTCCTATGTGTGCCCCGACTGGGGATGATAGAACCTACAACCCTGACATATCAGGATGCTCCAACGACCTGAGCTACCCAGCCAGGGCAAAAGGGGCTTCTTACATTTTATTAAATGGTCCCTATGTAATAAGCAATGTATTTCAATGATTTGTTATTTGTTAATCTCTCAAATCAAATAGTCCTTTTTTTTTCTTTTCCAAACAGGGGAGGGGGCTTTCTGGAGTCTCTTTTATTTTTTAAAAGATTTTATTAATTTTTAGAGAGAGGGAAAGGGAAGGAGAAAGGGAAGGAGAGAAACATCAATGTGCAGTTGCCTCTCACGCACCCCCCACTGGGGACCTGGTGTGCAACTCAGGCATGTGCCCTGACTGGACGGGAATCAAACCGAAGACCCTTTGGTTTGCAGGCCGCACTCAATCCACTGAGCCACACCAGCCAGGGCACTTTCCTTCTTTTTTTTGCATTAACTTTCATCCAAGAAGAAATCTGCATTGCAGGGCTCAATTATTATTCACCTCTAAGAAGCTTGCTTACTCTGGAACACCCTATTTGGGGGTTCAACTAATAAGGTAATTTGGGAGGATTTTGCTAGGTCCGTGCTAAATTAATGTTCCCCCAAATAGTATTTCATGGTTTATTTCGTAGAAGTTTATATTATTAAGCTTATTGCTCAATCCAGTCTTCATTTTTCAGGTGGGAAAACTGAGGCTCAGAGAGGTATAGTAACTTACCCAAGGCCACAGAGCTATCAAGCAAGGGTTAGGCCTCAGGCCTACAGACTTTTGCCTTGTGCTCTCTATCTATTTCCATTCTTCTTTTTCTAGTTGACTTCATGTTTTTAAAAATACATAAATAGAATAGAGTGAGTTTTCTGGTCTTTTAAATTTGTGGAGCCCCACTTCTTGAAATATCAAGATCAAGTTACATTCCAAAGGGATCCAAGGCCTGTGCTTTTGTTTTCTGTTCAGGGTTCATTCTTCCCCAAGGAAAGGATGGCGTCAGAATCAACTCCTCTGCTGGTGATGCTCACAAGCCATGGGCTCGGCCTCACACTATCCACCACTTTATTTAAAAGAGCACCACAGGTAAGTAATCTTTATTGTATGGAAGAACATAGTTTCCTTCATTACAAATGCCTCCCAAATATTTTTTTCAAGTGACATTTCATTATTTGTTGCTGCACTCACATATTATTCTCCTTTAATGTTTGGTTATAATCATTTATAGTAGTAGATTTTGTGACTTTCAGCCATCTCTGGCATATAGCCCGGTCAGCCATGGTATGTTACTCTTCTGAAACATTGCTCATTCCATGAGTTAATATTTTGTTTAGAATGTTTGCATCTATATTCAAAAGTAAGATTATACTACACATTTTTTTGTGGCATGTACTGGATTTTGGATGCAATGACCTATTCCAAGTTAGAGGCAACTTGATTTTAAAACCTTAAAGAAAAATAAAAACACTGCCAGAGGCCTTCCACTGCTGCTAAGAGGATGTCCCACATTCTTGCCACAGCCCTGGGTAACCCTCCATCCCCTGCCAGGAGCCTGCCTAGAGTTGCCCTGCCCCCACCTCCTGGCATCAACACTCCCTTCCAGGCAGCAGAAACTTGCAGAGGTCACTCTCAAGCCCAGCCAGGACATTAAATCACACACCCAGCCCTGCTGCCTTATGGCTGAGTTCTCAGCCTCAGGTGTACCATTTAGAATAAAAACACCAGGTCTTCGGCTGCTCAAGGACAGTGATCTTGTCATCTCTTCCAACTCCAGCATTCTGACTCCAGGATTCTGGGATTCTCCAGAGATCTTAGAATAATATGCCTCCATTTGCCTACTAGTTGTCAGGTCATGAGAGCCAACCATGTGCGTGGTGCTGCTTCTAGAGTCGGTTCCTGTTTTCCTTAGCATGCCTTTGAGATTCCTGTTCCACAGATGAGGCCCAGAAAGGCTAAGCGATTTGCCCAAGGTCACACAGGTAGTGCATGGATTCAAACCCGGAGTTTGTAACTGTTGGACCCCACAGCATACATCAGGGCATGTTCAATTGCACAGGGTCAAACAAAAGTAATTAGGACAGTGGTCTCCACCAGGGGTAGTATCATTCCCCTAGAAGGCTTTGGAAATGTGCAGCAGTGTCTTCCTTGAGTGTCACAATGACTTGGGAGTTCCACTGGGATTTAGTGAGTGGGACGCAAAGATGTTAAATCCTGCAGTATTCTGGATAAATCTGCACAAAAACTCTCTCACCGATAGTCCCCTTGTTGAAAGACACTAGGTCAGAATGTTAAAGGCAGAGAACTCATCATTCATTCAACAGATATTGCTTAAGTATCTAATATGTGCTGGGCACTAACCCAGATGCTGAAGATAGAACAATGAACAAAATTACATATGGTCCCTGTTGTCAAGGTTCTTGTGTTCTAGTCTGACAGACTGATTATATGCAAGTAAAAGCATTGTTAAGTTGTTATAAGTTGGATAAGGGATAAATGAGGGTGGGGGGGTAGCTTTAGGTGGGTGGAAGGATTAGGGAAATGACAAGGGCTGTCTAAGCCAGTTTCTCAAACTTTAATGAACACACAAATCACCCGGAAATTGTGGTAAAATGCAGATTTGGATTCAGCAGGTCTGGGCTGGGAGCTCGGAGCCTCATTTCTGACCAGCTCCCGGGGGACGCCAAGTTTCCCCATCTGCAGAGAGCACTCATTCTAAACAGTACGGTGAAGGCCACACAAAGAATTTGAATTTTGTTCTAAGGGAGCCAGGAAGGAAACTATTGAAGGGCTTTAACCAAGTAAGTGACATGAACCCAGTTACATTTACCATTACTGTGGTTTCCTAGATCTTGATTGAGGAGAGGAAGAGGCTGGACCTACGCCGTTTGACCGGAACCAGCTGGCCCGTGCTGTCGCGGTGGCAGCCAGGGCCTCAGGCTCATCCCTGCAGCTCATACTTGCCTCTCCCCTCTGGCTTCTCTGGCAGAAGCCCTTGGCTCCAAGCAAGGGCCGGACCAGTTGTCTGTGATCTTGGAAGCCCTAAGGACACCTGACAGGGTATGGATTCACACCCCTGACATCCTAATATGCAGAGCCACAGGAGCCCTACTGGTTGGGTGAGCTCCCTAGGGGGTGCTGGGCAAGGTAGTACGCATATGCAAGTAGCGATACCCTAGACCACGGCCCTCCTGAAAAGGGCCCTGTCTGGCCGTACCCAAAGAGCTCTGGAAGATCTTGACTGCCTTCTCTCTGCCCTAGGATGAGTGGGAAATAAAAGAAGTCACTCCTGGAAGGCATTCCCAGGGGGGCACTCTCAGCCTAAACTTCAAACGTTTTAGATTCCATGTCTTGCCTTTGTCTTCCTAAGGTTTCTCCTAGAGCCCTAGGTTCTCCTAGGAAGAAAGAAACCTGAGTTTGAGTCTCAGCTCCACTCTGTCAGCATGTGCCCTTGGGAAAGTCAGTCAGCCCTGCTAAGGCTCAGGCTTTCCTCGTCTGTAAAATGAGGATAATTAAAGCACCCTCCTATTGGATGGTTGTGAGGATTTAATATCAAGCGCTTAGCATTGTATGGGCACAAAGTAACTGCTCAGTAAAAGGGGGTATCATTATCAGGATTCCTTTAGAAAACAGACTTTCAGCAGCTCCTTGGACACAGATTATCGCACTCCCAGAAGACAAGAATTATTTATTGGTCTCTATTTGTCTACCACATGCATTGGCATATAGAACTGGACACAACACATACTGCTTTTGGGGTCACCAAGCACAGTGCTTAGCTCCTGGCAGGTTACGGACATTATTTGTGGATTTGAGCTAAGTTTTACAGCTGGTAGGAAGAATGAAAGAAAATTGTATGCAAGACACTCAGAGTCCTGGGAGTTGTGGAATACCGTAAAGCCCTGGTCAGGAAGCTCAGTTGGTTAGAGCATTGTCACAATACGCCAACGTTGCAGGTTCTATCCCTGGGTAGGCACGTATGAGGATCGATCAACCAGTGAATTTGTAAATGAACTGGAACAACAAATTGATGAGTTCCCCCTTCTCTCTCTCTCTCTCTCCCTCTCTCTCTCCAAAATCAAATTTTAAAGAAAGAAAGATGGTAAAGATGGTCAGGTGTGGTGAAGATAAGGAGATGACACAGGGACATGACAGGGTAGTTCTGGGTCCCTGTAGAAATACAAATAAAGGTCACACAAGCTCCTACTTGCCACCCACGGCCAGAAACGCAGCAGCCCCGGGCATGCCCTCTATTTTAATACTGTTGTAGCATCTTTATTCGAGTATCCTTGCTAATGGCAATTAAATACAGAGTAAAATATCTCAAATAGTAGGTAATCCAAGTCCCCTTTCATTGGGTTTAGTTTGAGTTTCCCCATCTCCCTCACCCGTAGTACACTGTTTATCTTTCTAATTTTGCAGTGTTTAAAATTCCCTTAGCAGACACTGGAGCTGGACATTAGAGGTACGTGGCCAAGGGCATGCTGTATGAAAGCGCAGGCTTTGGTGGGAACACTGGCAGGGACAGTCCTCCAAGTACAGACTGCACCGATCTGTGAAGAACTAAGAGTGGAATGTGTTTATTTACCAGGCTGCTTACATGATACATAGTTTCCTAAGCTCAGGCAGTTTTCTTTTTAAAGTCAGATCCATAAAAATTACAAGGATAAACACAAAGGATTTTAAACACTGGAGGAGCATGTATGGGGGCAGAAACGATTCCTTTTGGAAGCCCAAGATACATTTTTGATTTCTCTATAATGACGGTTAGAACCAAAGACACAAAACCCAAGTTACATGCAAAACCCTACCTTGCTCAGGTTCGCTTTCGGACAACTGGTGCTGGAATACAGTGCACACGCCATAAGGAAGGGGCCTGTACACAGTGCCTGACGTAAGCTGTATGTGTCCTTAAATACCAGTTGGATGAATGAATGAATAAACTCACAGAAGAAATTAGGGAGAGTTCCTGGCACGTGACATAATCCCACATTTTATAAAAGTATTTGCCACAAGGGCCTTTTAAGGAGAGGTTCTCTAAAATTTTTTTTAAAGGGATCTTATTTACATATGTTTCATGGAGATTTATTGCTCAAAGCAAGAGGCACCTGTACTTTCAAAATATTTCATAAGTGAGGGGCCCAGCACAGCATTCTGCCAAGATGAGGAAGTAAAGAAGGAACCTCTAGCTCAGGGGGATGGTGGCAAATGCCCCATTATTTTTGGCCAGAGAAATCCAGTCAGCTGTTGACAGCTTTAACACCTCCAGCCAGGCCACTCAGGGACAATGATATCATATCAGAGATAATTACTTCCCTTTAGTTTAGCAGAAGAGCCAGAGAGAGCAGGTGTCTGTCCCTGCAGAACCGAAGCCTCTCTCCAGTGTGAGCCCGGAGCTCTACCCTCCACCCCCAGCAAGAGGCCCCTCTGGGAAGACCTGAATTCCTTTTCCTCAGTTAAGACTTGGGTAGCCATCCTGTCACTGCCACTGCCTTCCTGGTCCCCATCCCCAACCCCAATATAAAAGAAAATATTTTTTTTTTCTAAATGGCAAATGCAAATGAGCTTCATTTTGAAAGACTATTGAGAATGTTGCAATGACCTTTGCAATAACCGGACACACCCTAGAATCCGTAAACCAGGTTTGAGAATTGCTGACACTATGAGCACCTGACCTGTAAAACAGAAGCCCAGTTTGGTGCCCTTCCTGGGACCCATTCTCATGTCAGGAAGGAGAGAACACAGCCTAGAAGGACCTGGTCCGGCCTCTGCTGTGTCCTCTTGAGCGATCACTGTCCCTCTCTGGGCCTCAGCCACCCCATCTGTATAGTGAGGATGATGGATGTTCTGTGACCTCTGGGGCTCCTTCTGGCCCTGAAGCTCTGTCTTACCACCTGCCTCCTTTCTAAACAAAATCCAAAATGGAGTGGAAGGAAGAATGGGGAAGGGAAGAGAATAGTTCAGAAGGCCACACGGCAATAAACCTCCCTCCATTTCTGCCTCCTTTCTTCCTGGGTTGTTGCTGTGCTTTTCTTTCTTTTCTCCCTCTCTCTCCTCTCCTCTCTCTCTCCTTTCTTTTCGTTCTTTCTCTCTTTCTTTTTCTTTTTCTTTCTCTCTTACTCCCTCCCTCTCTCTAAACTCAAAAGCCACAAAACCACAACTCACCTCCCCCAAAGGGGTCATTTGAAAGCCAGAGCTGTCAGGGGTTAGGTGTGTCAGGCCTGGCATACTGGTGGTATCTAGGACCAGGCCAGGGCAACCATGTGCTCCTCCTCCAGAAACCCAGTTTAAATCAATATTTATCTAACTGTATTTATAGAAAGTGGTGGTGGTAGGGCAGAGGGGGTGGGATGGAGAGGCAGGGGGATCTAAAACAGAGCAAGCCACAAAGGCTGATGCAAATCTTTGTGGCCAATTCGTTTCTGCAGGGCCAGGCTTTTTTAAAGGCAAAAGACCCAGCTTTTGATGAACCTGCTGTTGGCTCCAGCACCATAGCAACAGCCCCAAGTCCTCTAATATGTCCAGAGGACAGACTTGGGAGAGACAGCATGGCAGGGGTGTTGTTTACTAGGAGCATAAACTCAAGTTTGGGCCAGGAGCGTTGAACAACTCTGAAAAACAAGAAAACCTCTCTGGTTAGCTATTCTGACTCCATCCTCATTTCTCAACCTTCTTTGAGCAGGGTGTGTGTAGGAAGACGTTGATAATCAACAGGGTGTTTCAAATACCAGCTCTGTTCCAGGTTGCTGGGTGACCTTGAGCAAGTCATTTCACCTCTCTAGACTTCATTCCTTGGCTGTAAAATCCATACCCGCATAAATGGTTAAGACCTCAGGCTCATTCTGGAACCCGAGTCCTAGGTTCCAACCTCGGCTCTACCACTTACTAGCCATGTGACCTTTGGGTAAGTCACCCAGCATCCTGGCTCCTCTGTAAATGGGTGTAATAAAAGTGCTTGTATCAAGGGGTTGTTGTAAAGATTGGAGGAGATGATGCACGTGTTTAGCCCCATACTTGGTATACAGTCAGTGCTTAATAAATGGTAGCCAGTATTGATACTATGCAATGCAATGAGTTGCTGCTGCTGCACGCTGGCACCCTCTTCACTTCCTTCATTCTTACCCCCAGACTTTTGTTCAGCCATCTTCAGGTGAAAATGCCCATTTCTGGGTATGTCAGTGGGAGCGTGTTTTGGTCAGAGAGGGGAAAGTAGGTGAGGGCAGCAGTCGATTTGCCTTGTAGCTGATGGAGCACCCTTCCCCCAAAATCAGGAATGTCTCAATTCGACTTCAACTTCCTCAGGCCCTACTCCCTTTCCCCTGGGTCCCCTCCACAGAGTACCTAGTCCCTGGGAATCCTGGGACTCTAAAAGCCACAACAATATCCTTGAAAATCTACTTCTGGCACTTAACCAGTGGGCAGAGATCATATTTAAAACTAGAAGAAAAAAAAAGCTGAATCCAGGGAATATAATTTAGGATGCAGAGAAAATAGCCGCATTTAAGAATGTTCTTTATACAACTCCACCAAAAACAAATATCCCACTCCACCCTCAGCATAAATCAATCCAGAGAGTTTTCAGGAAAAAAAAAGCAATTGCATATAGTAGGTGTTCAATGCATATTTGTGGAATGAATGAATCATAACACACCTGCCACATAGAAGTATGACCTGCTTGAACCTTAGTTGCCATCAAAGCCCTCAAATTCAGCATAAGTTGCCCTAGTCACCTGCTCTCCAAGCCAGTAACTGATTCACTCTCAGTCACAGCTGACTTCAGTATGTGCTTTCAGCTCTCCAGGCCTTACCTACTACCTCCTTGCTGGCCCTGGTCTTTACAGCCCAAGGGAATTCTGTGTAGATTATGAGAGACACCCTCCTCCTCGAAAGAGAGAGAAGCGTTTCCAACTCTTCTCCAAGTCTTCAGAAAGTCTGTCATATGTCTCCTGGCCTGCAAACCTGATTGCTGTGCCATAGTCAATAAATGACACATCCAACCAATCAAAGAATGTATATTAAGTATCTACTGTATGCCCAGTGATATGCTATATGCAACAGTGACATATACTGAAGAGCTGTAGGTGATCTTTTTCCCTTAAGATGCTAACACAGGAAGCTAGTAGAGAATTGCACAGTACTGATTATCAAAGCACAGAAAGGTGACTGTTTATTGAGCACCTATTATATTCCAGGTACTTTAAATGTTTAAAGGGAGTGCCTCATTTAGTCGTTCAGCAATTATGTGAGGCTGGCGCTATTGTTACCCCCATTTTACAAAGAAAAGAAATGGGACTTCAGAGAAGTTAGGTAACTTGTGCCTAAGATCACACAGCCAGTAAGCAGGGAAGGAGGGATTTGTTTCCCACTCTTGTGACCGTGAAGTTTTCATTTTCTCAACTACCCCAACTTAAGAAATAGCCAGGGGAGGCTTCCTGGAGGAGGCGGGAACTGACCTAGGTCTTGAAAGGTGGGTAAGATGCACCTAAACCCAAGGAAATAAGAGAATGAGGGCACTCTAGACAGAGGGAAGCGTCTGAGTTGAGCACAGAGGCATGACTGTGAACCTGCTTGCGGGTGAGCCTGCTGGGCAGGAGCAGAAAAGATTAAGTCAGGAGGGCTGGGTAGGGCCGAATGGTACCACACAGCAGCAGCTCCCTCCAGGAGGAGGAAAAGGCAGCTCCTTGGCCAGTTTATGCCCCGAGGAAAGCACCTCACCCTCAAACCCAGGCAGTCCATTACAGAGAGCCACCCATGCCCCCTACTTCCATCCAGTCATTTTTCTCTGTCTTAAGCATTGTCCCAAAAGTCACCTTCCCCAGACACTGAGAAGCCCAGTTTTGCCCTCTAGACCTCTACTTGTTACAGTGGTTTCCACTTACCTACTGAACAGCTTTTATGAACACCATCCCTTTGTGAAGCTTTCTTTTTCTCTCGGTTTTAACCTTTTCCAAAACAGGAAGCAAATGTTTGTTTATCAGTCAATCCTAAATTGCCACCCCTCCACTGGATCCCAAACCGAAATAGGTGTTGATGCTCGAGATTATTTATATATAAATTCTGAGTTTGTGAAAACAGGGTCACAGTCTCCATGATTAATGTTTTTGGAGGACTTTGAGATTCTTAAGGATTCACATCAATTGGAATTTGAGAATGTACCTGCATAGGGAATCTTTGCCTTGCAAAGAGCAGTGAATACTAGGTGATTTAACTTGGATACCTTCCCCCCAAGAAAACGCACCGTATCTACTGGAAATAATTCAGCACTGTGGCGACAACTCGGTGAACACTCCTAGTTCGGAAAGCTCAGCTAGTCAATGAAAAGCAGTTCTGGCGACAATGGAAAATAAGGCAAGCTCCTGCCAAGTTAAGTACTTTGCAAACAACAGTAAAAACGGAACGTGTGGACTTATGACCAGGGTCTATCGGTGCATTTCGGGAAGGCCTTACAGAACCCGAAATGAAGAATGGAATAGAGACTCAACAGCCATCTCCAGGGAGAAGAGCGTCCCTTTAAGAAGGGATTGTACCAGCTGGCCGCACTACAGCTCCCAGAGATTTCCTGGCTTGCCTCCTGGCCCCACCCCCTGTCTCTGGGCTCAGCAACACGTGACGTCATAGGAAGCTGCAGCTGCCGATTGGCTGAACGACGCAGCTAGGTCAAGTCCAGTCAGAGGAAAGAAGTTTGTCTCCATGTGGAAACCATGTGTCTCTAGCGGGGAGGGGGAGGAGGAGGCGGAGAAACTAAGATCAAGTGATTACAGGGGAACTGGCTGAAATGAAGGCGGGGAGGTTGTGCACCTGAGCCGGCCAGCAATGCCCTTTGCAGTAGCGACCTAAAATAAAAAACCCAAAACTTGCCTAACAAACAAAACTTGAACCTTCCCCTCATAAAATTAATTAAAAAGCCAGGATCCCTACTTCCTCCCCAAAAACAGGGACCTGGGAAATGCTGGAATCCTATCGGAACGCCCAGATCCTCATCCCTCCTCCCAACAACTGAATGATGTAAGCTTTTCGGAAAGCCGGGCTCAGAAGCAAAACAAGCCCCGCGCGCGCGGAGCGACCCGCAGTGCCCGAGCCGGGAGCACGCACGACCCGCCCCCAGACTCGCGTTATTGCTGTGCACACGCGGAGCGCCGTGACGCGCGGGCATTGTGTGCAGCGAGCAGAAAACAACGGGGAGCGCCGCCAGCGCGAAGAAGCGCCCCCAATAAAATAAGGCAGATGTAGGGTCCGCGGTTTTCCATACCCACACTGGGAGGGGGGCCGGGGGGGTGGAGTGGATAAAGTGCCCACCGTGGGTCTCTCCAGTTTGCAAGGGGGATCATAGAGGCCCGGCAAAGGGTCGCCGGTAGTTTGCTGGAGGTCGCCCTGGACTGCGTGAGCTGGTGGGGAGGGGAGCGAAGGCCTGGAGTAGGATCCCTGTAGCCGAGTCGGGCACGGCGCAGCGTCCCACGCTCTCGGGGAAATCTGGGGGCCGTTGACATCACGTCATGCAGAGCCAAACAGCGGCGGCGAAAAGAGGCAAGAGAGCTAAAAATACTCCCACGGGGAGCCGGTTGGAGGTGGGGGCAGCGAGGCCGAGGGACTGATTACGTACTCGAAGTTGACTTTGGAGCGTTGAGGTTCCGAGCCCCTCTCGGGGGCTAGCGAACGCCTCGGGAGAGGAACCACGAGGAAGCCCCTAGGCTTTCTCAGCCTCGGGAGCCCAGCTCTGCTGCTTCTGTCCCGCCCCGTGCGGGGCAGCCGGCCCGGCGCGCCCGGCCCTCTGCTTACGTGACTGGTGGCCACGCCGGAGCCCCGGCACGGGGTAAACAAGAAGGTGGCGACGGCCAGGGAGGCGGGGGGGAGGGGGCCGGGGGGAGGGGGGGAGGTGGAGAACGTCTCCGATTGTCTGCTGTTGAGAAAGGGTGGTGGGACGCGGTGGAAGCTCCAGCAACCTCCTTAGTACACCTCACTGGGGGAGGGGGTCAAACCAGGTTTGCCACACACTTCCAAGGTGCCCTGTTAGGGTGCACCCCCAGCAGGAGCCGGCGCTACGGGACAGATTCTAGAGAACAGGGAACCCGGGGCGCGCCATCCCCCCACCGCCCCGCTAAAAAAAATCTCACCCCTCCCCCTCCAACAAAAGCAAACACCAAACAAAACCGTGTCTTCACCCAGATCCCCACAGGCTCTGGCTTTTCATAAACTATTCTCCTGACGAATGCACAACCGACACGACCACCGGCCCGCCAATAACCACAATCTGATTCAGCTACACAGCCGGCGATGCGCCTTTCTCGAAACCGAGGCAAGCATTCCGAGAAAACAAGAGAGAAGAGAAAGAAAAGAACGCACCACCGACCTCCCAACACAAATCCTTGCTTTTTCCCGTACGGCTTCTGCACAATTGCGCTGCCAAAACACGCTTACTTTATCCCGGGAGAACTGGAGTGTCGGTCTGCTAAGGTGTTTTTGTGTTTGAGGGTTGTTGTTGTTGGGTTGGGGGGATATCACAAGATCTGACACGTTGCAATCGGGCCATTTTTTTTTTCTCCCCTCTTCTCATTGATCTTCCTACTTGTTTGGACAGATTAAACAGCCTGCTTTTCTCTAGCCTGTCGTTCTATCTGCCCAGGCCCCTTCCCCCTTCTCGCAGCTATTATTTGTGAGGACCATGCTGGAGACACCGCACACGCGTGCCCCCGTTAGGACGCAGAGTCAACTGCCTGGGGAGGGCTGGGAGACCCGGCTGGCAGGGGCAAAAATGAAACAAACAAATACGAAAAAAGAGACCAGGCCGGGGTGGGGCTCCCAGCCCCTCCCCCCCACCGCATAACTCTCCACCTGAGGGGGGGGGGGGGTTGTGAGGGGTGAGGGTGGACGGAGAAATCGATCAGAAAGGCGTTTGCCTTCCTAGCACTGAGCGCTCACTAGGAAAATAAAGAAACTGCACACAACAGCCCACACCTTCTTCCCCAACTATTGTTTCCTGCAAGATCCCAAAGTTTCCTTCTAGCTACGGCCCCCTCGCCAAGTTTCCCCGTAGGACGGCGGGTCCCGGGCGACCTGCTGGCGCTGCATGGCCCAGCCAGCCAGTTTGGGGGGGGGGGGGGGAGGCGGAGCAGTGGCACCCCAGGGCAACAGAGGCGCAGGGGCACTGTACCGGAGGACGCGATGGCCTGAGCCCAGCCCGGCTTGCAGGGGAGGAAAAAGCGAAGTAGACAGAAGGGATAAGCATAGCCGAGCCAGCCGAGCCAGCCGAGCCAGCCGAGCCCACGCCGTGAGGGGCTTTTGGTGGCTGTTGTTATTGTTGTCCTGTGTGTCTTGTGTTTTCTTTCTGAAACCGCTGAGCACTGCCTACGGTTTCCAACTTTCGGCTTCTAATTCTCCCCACCCCACCCAGGAACGAGCACAGAAAAACAACACTTGTCTGCCCGAGAAGGCTCCGGAAAAAAAAAAAAAAAAAAAAAAGGAAGAAAGGCGACCTCGAAGAGATGAGCTGCTCTCGGCTCAGTTGTCAGAAAACAACAACACTCCCCTGCTTCTCGGCTGGGCGATCCTCCCAGCCTCCAGGAAACGAACAGACAGACGCACGGACAGACCCCCCTTCCACCCGCCCCCCCCCCCGCTCGTCTTTGTTACATCTTTAGCAGCTTTGTGCGTGCGTGTCCTTTCTCCCGTGTCATCGGCTTTACTGCCTAGTGCTGGATGTGTGTTGGGGGGAGGGGGACGCGGGCCGAGCAGGCGACAGGAGTCGCCCAAGTGGGCGAGGAAGAAAGAGCCGAACGCCGAGGAGGAGCGGGGGACCCAAACTTACTTTTGTTTTCTTTCTCGATCTGCTCCAGGTAGCTGGCGGCCTCAAGCAGAATCTGCACGTTCTGCAGAAAAGTGTTGATGTGCTTCTCCATCGAGTTCTCGCTGGTGTTGAAAATGTCCGAGAAGGGGCACCTGAGCTTGGCCCCCGCGGGCTCCTCGGGCTGGGCAGGGGGCTGAGGCGCGGCCACAGCCGGGGGCGCGGTGGGGGCCAGCCCTGCGCCCTCGCAGCGCGCCTCCTTGCGCGGCCGCCCGCGTTTGCCCATGGTGGGACCGGGGTCTGACGAGCTCGTCCTCTTCTAGGGCTGCGCGGCCCGGCGGAGCTCCGGGCCCCAGAGGAGACCCGGCTGGCTGAAGCGGAGGAGGCGCCGAGGCGAGGAGGCGATCTGACTTCCCAAGCCTCACTGAGTGCAGTTGCGTGCCTGACTGTGAGTGAGTGTGTGTCGGTCTCGCAGTGGGTCTGTGTGTATGGGAGATTGAATGAACCTACAGGACAGACGGAGGCGCTCTGGCGCCTGGGTCCTAGTGCGAGCCTGTCGCCTCGGACGGGTCAAAATAAAAGGTGGAGACGAGCGAGGCAGGGACCGCCCATTGCCCGTCCTCACAGCCTTCCCCGCGTCTCCCAAAATCTGATCACAGTGTAGAGGACTGTATTTTAACTGAAAGGGAAAAAATACTCGATGTCTTTGATTGTACCTGCATGAAAACAATACACTAAGCTATTTTTTCTTCACATAAAAATAATACCTCTAAAGCGTCCAGCACAATGCTTGGCACATAATAGGCCCCCCATAAATGGTAGCAGCCATGACGTTCATTTATTTCAAATAAAAGTCCAATTTAAAAAATCACATGTAATCTTCCCTCCCCCCCGCCCCAATACACACACACACACACAGGCAAGGCCTTGTGCCTTTAAAGGGCCAAATGAAATCCCCAGGCCAACAAATCCTGGTTACAGATTTACTCATTCTTTCTTTCTCCCTTCAAATGCAAAGTTATTTTTCCAGGAAGGGGAGGAGATGTAAGCATCTCCCTCCACACACTTCCCAGCCCAGGTCCAGCTGTGCAAAGCTCACACTAGGGTGCCATCACACCTGGCCCCCTTTAATTTGACAGAGGCAGAAGTGGCAGCCCAGGACCACCCCACCCCAACTGAATTCCACCTTTTGTCTCTGAAGACCCCTACCCCAGTTGGCTTTGTTTTCACTGCTGCTGCTGTCACCTAGTCAGGTGCTGCAGGAACACTGGATGCTTTCCAGGCCTGGGAAGCGCTGTGGGAGTGGAGGATATTTGAAGGCCTCTGTGAAGTGCCATAGAGAAGGAATCAGTTCCCACCCACCTCTGCTGCATACAGACTGTGTGAGCTTGGGCAAGGCCCCTAATCTTCGTGGCCTAAATTTCCCCACCTGTGAAACCTCCAGTAAGAGTCTTGTCCTGATTTAATTATATCTGTTCTGAGCACACTGCCTGGCCCATAGTAAGATATTTTTCTTCCAGTCCAGACCCGGACAAGAGCCTAGGTCCCCAACTTGCATCCAAGAGAAAATATGTTGAGGAAATAAGACTCTTCTGCACTTCGCTGGAAAATGTCTCTGCAACAAGCCCATCTAAATAACATCACCTTGCAAGGCCACCTGGAGTTTTCCTCCAGAGGAACTATTTTCATAGAAGATACATGCATGCTGCCCATTTATATATAATTGATATAAACAAGATAAAAAAGATGTAATTCTGTTTTTATCAGTTAGCCAATGAAAATTTTGGTTTTGTTATACGTCATTTTGCTTAAAGTCACAGAACCTATTAACAACTTAGGTGAGGACTTACTCTGTACTAATAACAAGTTGCTGGTATGACAGGAACAATCAGTAATTGAAATTTTGAAGCCAACGTACTCCTAAGAGCTGTGAAATACAAGTTTATTTTCCAATATCACAACAGTTACCTTTTTCATATCATGTTTAAAAGTCTACAAATGTCTAAGGCCTTTAGGAAGGTACAGTTTCAAACAGGTTTTATCCAACACCATTTTGCAAAAACTGGCACTTGTGTGAAACAGCCCTGATCTCCCTGGCCCTAAATGAAAAATGAGAGTGAGATGATGAACCAGGGGAGCCCAGACCCCAAACACCCTGGTCTCTCTAATTCCCAGGTAGAAGCCTGGGCCAAGGTACATACCTATGTAGTCCTGTGACCAACATGTGTGTGTACACACACACGCACACACACACATCCTAGATCGGCACACCCCACACATGTGTGCAGGGGTGGTAGTAGGGTGTTGCATAATTATTTATTTATCTTTATTTCATCTCTGATAGGTCTCTGAGCTTCAGAAAGCCCAGTGGGAATCTTCAAGCTGGGCCGTGGATCTGACTAAAGCCAAAGTAAACAATGGCTTGAAGAAAATCGACAAAAAAGTGCTGATTTGCACTATTCCCACAGTCGGCCACAGCCCCCACCATCATTCCCATGGAAAACACCACTGCTGGTGCCAAATCAAGTCTTCCCCCCATCATAGGGGCATTGTTTTTTGTTATTATGTGAGTTCTTAGCACCAGACAATGGCACCACAAGACACACAGTGGAGGCAGGAGAAATGCCTTTTTGTTTCACAAAGTCTGTGCTATTGTGCCCCACAGCCTCACATATAGTTTCGTGGCATACATTCATTTTGGTCACACGTATGTGGAACGAGGAATGTGCCAAGCTAAAGCTCAAAGCCCCTTTCTTATTTTTTTCAGAGCCCATCAAGTGTTAAATCATGTTAGCCTCATATTGCTCTCCCCCTTCTTCCCCACTACCCCCAATTAACAGATTTCTCCAATAAAGTTGGCCTCAACAGAAAGAGTGGTGTTTCAGAGGTTATATCATGGGACAGGCATCCAGGATGCTGGGTTACAAGCTCAGCTCCATTCCTGATTTGCTTTGCTTCCCAGGAGAAGCCATTCAAACCCTTTGCACCTCACTTTCTCCAGGGCTTTGGCTCCATAAATAACCAGGCGTCTTTGGAAACTGGTTGAGAATTTCTGCAGAGAACAGGTAGGGGAAGAGAAGGCAGGCAGCCAGCCTGATAAGAACATGTCAACTCGTTGAAAGGAAAGCCCTGACTTTTTGCAGTGCCCAGGAAGGCCAGCCACGATGCTCCTAATGCCCCAAGGCATCTCTGGCGTCTGCTCAGCATGAATCTTATCTTTCCAACCTCCTTTTGCTTTGTTTGGTCTACTTGCCTGTTTGGTGATATTTTTCCATCAGCCTGGTTTGCATATTAAAGCAACGTCACTCCTTCTTTTATTTGCCCCTCTTTCCCCCCAGACATTCTGTATACTCTTACTTCAAAGGAGTTGTTCTGTCTGTAATTGTCTTCAGGTGCACAGAAGCTGGTTAATTACCGAGATGGCGCTAGGAGAGTTGCCCCTAGACATCCCCATCCTGCAATTGGATGCGATGCCCTTCCCATCCTGGACCATTCTGGCTCTCCTGGGCTCCTTATTTTTGCGTTCCCTCCTTACCTGTTCTCCCCTCACTAGTGTTTTTTGCCTAAATCTCTCCCTCCAAAATCTAGCTTTTCTTTGGACCTTGCCAGCATGGCCAGTTCAAGTTCTTCCCTGCTCTGTGACCTGTGGTCTTTGTACTAAGGCTTAGGGAATACTATCAAGAAATCTTCCGGCCATGCAGGGGTGGCTAGGCTGGTTGGAGCATCGACTGTGCACCAAAAGTTTGTGGGTTTGACCCCCAGTCAGGGTGCACACGAGAGGCGATTGATTGATGTTTCTCACATCGGTGTTCTTCTCTCTCCCTTCCTGTCACTCCAGAACCAACAAATATGTCCTCAGGTGAGGATTAAAGAGAGAGAGAGGGAGAGAGAGGGAGAGGGGGGAGAGAGAGAAAGAGAGATCTGTCGTCTGCATTGTCACTTGAGTCCTAATCCTCAGAGCTTTGCCAGCCAAGTTTTTCCCAGCACCTTTCTCTCTGGAAAGAGATCATCCAGCAGCAAGCTGCGGAGCTAGCTCAGGGCAATTTCTCTCTTTAGAAGTCTTCATCTTGTCCTCATCTCTTAGAAGGGAGAAGTGGCTTTAAGGTAAGCCTAGGACTCAAGAGTCAGGGGCTGTAAGACACAGGTAGCGTGGCAGGAGCAAGGGGAACTGTGGGACTCTGCCTATCCCGGCGGCTTCTGGAACAGCCTTGAAAGTGCTGACCAGGCCTCCTTCAACCACTCCCCAGGCCCCCACCCCCACCCACACACTCCTTAGCGGGTGTAGACCTGGGCAGAGGATAAATAGCCTCCACCCTACACTGGAGCTAGCCCGGGTGTCACCTGGTCCTGAGGCATTATCTCTGCCCTTCTGGACTCTGCCCTCCCTCCTCCTGGACCTCTTGAGGTTGGCAGGCCCTTCCTGTCTCAACCAACTCCTGGGCTTCTCCTATACAACACCCAGTACTTACAGGGTTCATTAGACTATGAGCTCATCAAGGACAGGAAACACGCCTCGCTTCCCTGGCATTCCCAGCCCCTGGCACTTGGCACAGCTCATGCATGACACCAAAGGGGGGCTGAGGCCAGGAGGGTCGTAGGCAAGAGTGCCCTTTCCTGTTTGGCTGGAATCTTCGTGCTGGACCTCCGTGGCTTCCTGGCTGCAGCATGGCAAGAGGAGGCATTTGACACTGTCTGCAAAACTATTTCTGAGTCACTCACATTAAAGTTTAAATATCAAGATGTTGTTTGTCTCCGCGGAGAAGCCAGAAACCCATTGAGCTAGATGACTGAAGTTCCCTTCCCAAAAAGTACAGAGGCTCAGCCATACTCTCCCCTGTCCTTGCTGCTCTGCAGATCTGGTGACATGATGGGTCTCCTCTGTAATAAGATGCCTCTAATGGAGAATTTTCAAAAGTCACCAGGCAACAAAGGCCATGGCTGGAGATCAAGGCAGGAGTCACACACAGCTCATTTTTTTACATTCTGGGGTGTGTTCTAGATGGATCTTTCGGGCCCCCACTTTCTATAATATCTCCATATTTTTAAAGGGAATTCATCAAACATTCTAACTTTATGTACATTAAGGTACCAGTGAATGACATGAGCTTAAATACGATCATTCCCAGAGGCATCTGGCATGAGAAGGTGGCCAGTGCCTCAAGCTAAACAAATTATTTTCAATTCTCACCCAAGGACATGTTTCTATTGACTTTTAGAGGAACAGGGAGGGAGAGAGGGAGAGAGAGTGTGCGCACAAGCCTGTGAGATGTGAAAGAAAACGTCAATCGGCGGCTGTCTGCGCAGCAACCAGGATCAAACCTGCAACCCAGGCACGTGCCCTGACCAGGAATCGAACTGGCAACCTTTCAATGTACAAACCCATGCTCCAACCAATGGAGCCGCATGGCCAAGGCTAAAAGAATAAAGTTTTTTGAGCGCGGGCTGGGAATCAAAGTGTCCCAGGTTCGATTCCCAGCCAGGGTACATTCCTGGGTTGCAGGCCATAACCCCCAGCAACCGC